GTACTCTTTTGTACAAGTAAAAATTATTTATAAATTTTTGCAAGACAGACATAGGATTTCGATCAGCGAAATATATGAGGGATTGAATGCAATACGGAGGACTCATTTTACAAACTTGTTCGAGGTCTCTGAATAAAGGCTTCCGTGGAGTCTCATAGAGAGGACATTGAAAAAAATGTCGTTAGGTGTCGCAACACCCTGGCCACAGGGGCATAAATCTGAAGTAACAATGTTAAATCTACGGAGGCTAGCCCCAGTCGAGCTATGTGTACATCTGCGTCGATTGACAGTCATAATCGTTCTCCAGCTCAGTTTCAGTTCCTCAAACCACGGTTCGCCCGTCCCTGAATAGTAAATACTTGAAATAATCTTTTACTCTTGAGGAGAGTACCTAGTGGATGTGATCGGCTACTGCGCCACCTTGCGGTGGCGTCCGTGTACTCAGGTTGTCGTAACCTCCCTGATTAACAGCTGAGGACCAACAAATAGTGAATATTTTTTTAATGTAGAACTGGCGATGAATTATAATATTATGGTAATAACTTGAGATGGTAATCAATGAGACTGGAAGGTATTTGATTCTCTATAATTACATTTCAATTATAATCAGATTTGAATGAATTATGATTTTATTCTAATTATATGAGACACTTTGATTTTTTTCTCTTGAGAGGAACTAGTGGTTGTGATTGGCTACTGCGCCACCTTGCGGTGGCGTCCCTGCACTCAGGTTATCAAAATTATCTGAAATACTTGTTTTCCAATCACCCGCTTTGTTTCCTCTATCACGGATACCGATATTGTTCAATTTCGAACTTTCGACTGTAGACTTTTTATTGCTACCACTTTAATAGGGAACCTTTTGAATTCTATTGTTTCCGCTCGCTCCATTGTCCGCTAACGAATTACCTGATATCTCCCAGTTCATCAGTATTTTTATATACTTTTGTGTATCTCTCGGTAATATGTCAAAACGAATGAATGCACTGGCCGGCCGAAAAATCTAAATTGGGCAAATGGAACAAGGACGCCTGGCAATACATGCTCCCGTACATTTCCACAGCAAAAAAGATCCTTGAAACATTTACTATTGTATTCCCACTGACAATAACCCTTTTGTTTTGGTTTTTGGGGAACGCTTTGAAGTGACTCTGAATCAAATTGATTTTAATCGTCTTTGAACATTGCAACGCGCTGTGAACATGGACCCAAAGGAATGGACAAAAGCGTCGGTTTCTACATTCGTTACCGGAAAACCAAACCCAAGCGTTCCCTCTAACCAAATCATTCAGGCAGAATATTCCAAGGATTTAATGATTCTTTTCAATCCCGACATTTTCTTTGTTTCATCGGTTGATTATTTCACGAAAAAGGCTGTAAAAATATAATATAAATTTTTTCCATTAACCGTCATATAAACCTATTAAAATGATCATATTTCATCTGAAAGTACGAAAAATCCCCTTCTTTCAATCCTTTTCTCCCCAGAAAAATCCCGAAGCACAACGGAAAATTAATTACTCAACGTCACGTGAACAAAACCAATAAAATAAATTGTCTTGGCGTGTCCACATAAGATCTGCGGAGATTTGTGATCCACTTCCTTCCATTACGGAACTCCAATGATTAAAGAGAAAATGAGTTTCTGAAAAGTTGGATGCCATTTTATATCTATTACCTAGAAGTACAACAGGAGTCAAGCCCGCTTGTTTCCTCTAATTCCCCTGGCAAGCTACCTCACCCCTTCCTGTTTCTCTAAATTTTCAGAAAGTCCTTTCTTACCCTGCACTACTTCACTTATTTTCTTCCTATCCCTTGTCTCTGTACACTTTGGCCCAGCGGGACTTATACCACTAGACAGAAAAGTTTTATCTGCAGAGTCGTAAAAAACGTACCGAAGAAGCACGATTGGATCGTTTTACAACACCATTCTTTCATTCTGATCTGGTGACTCCAGTCAAAGGTATAAATTGGAAATGAAATGTTCTATCGAAAATCGGATTGTTGGATAAGATTTTCAGCGCGTGACCCTAGTTATTTGCATAAAAATGAAAAAGTTGGGGGGGAACTGATCGAATCGATATTGTTGGAGCCAAAGTGGTGAATATTTTCAGATTTCTTAGCAAAGAATCGGATTGTCTGATTCAGGAATAGAAGTCATCAATTGGAGAACCAATGAGTGTCACATTAGTGTTCCTTTAGTGGATTTTAATGGCACGATGGTGCAGAGATATCAGTCAGGGCTATTTATACTCATGAAGATGAAATTCATTGAGAAATGTTCGTAATTAAAAAGTTCTTTACGACTAGTTCTAATTTTTTAAAAAGCAATACGAATCAAAAAGAAATAGAAATCAAAAGGAAATACGGAAGGGAAAAATTGCGATGTGTGTTCTCCTTTCAATTAATTTCTAACTTGGTTAAATTGATGAGAAATAGTTTCACGAAAATTATTGGAATAATAATATTTAATCTCTCAATTAATTCAGCTTCCGAACCCTTCATATCCCTTTACTAATTCAATGATCGTTGCCACTTGCAGCTGACGAATTTTAATGCAATCGATCTCATTAAATTATCTGATCAACTCCAAAATCGATCACAAATTTATCTTACAGCCCTTCTGCCTTCATCTCCAGACCCATCCGTCACGCCAGTCATTCGTTAAACGAACGGAATGACATCAATAGAGTTCTTTCTTTCTTTCCAAATCAGTAACAAATGAAACAATATACTGTTCTCCTCTCATTCCTCCACCCCCGAATCATGCGTCAAACCGATGCATCAACCAAATTGCTGAAAACGCACATCAACAACTTGCACCAAACATCCAGCTGTTTTTTCTACGAATTTCCAACGAGAATTGATCAATTATCGCGACGAGAAAGCAATCAATCGTACACGCGAGAGAGAGAGAGAGAGAGAGAGAGAGAGAGAGAGAGAGAGAGAGAGAGA